GTGGACCAAAACATTCCTATCACAATTTTAAAAAAATATTAAAAAACATGTCCTTGTTTTTAACAAAAAAAGTTAAAAAATACAAGAAGTTCCTGTCTTTCTTTCTAAATTTTTAGTATAACTTTATATTTAAAAAAAAAAAATTTACCTGATAAATACAACATGTCCTTGTAATACAGCTTTGTCCTCTTCAAATTCTCTTTTTCTTTCAATTTCATGTTTTTTATCGGCGCCACGCCTGTTGCCGCCATCATGATCAATACGATTTCCCTCGCTGTCGCTGTCATCGTCACTTTCTTCATTTTCATTATCGCTGTCTTCACTATCATCGTTATCACTATCGTTGTTACCATCACTGTCACTTCTAGCAGCATAAACATCACAGGTACCGCGATCATCGTCGTCACAAACATCCACATTATCTTCGTAATTTCCTTTATTACTTGTTTCTTGAGTCTGTTGTTGTTTTTGTTTTTCTGAAAAAAAAAATGAAAAAATCGAAGAAATCAAAGCCAGCAAAATTATCAAGCTAATAATCAGGCTCAGTGCAGCTTTGTTCCCAGAAACCAAAAAAAAACTGCTAGCCGTTTTGCTGCTGTTAAGGTGCCTCCTTCACCACCACGAAACGAAAACTGATTTCGATATCCAAAAATTTCACTTCTAAAGTCAAACTAAAAATGCCAAAACTGCCCGAACAATTGCTGCATGACTTTCACATATCAGGCTTATCTCACTCTGACCTCCTCTTCTGACACTGCTTTTTCCTTCCGAATTCTATCATAATTTCCTCACTTGTGTTGCCAGGGTCATCTTGGATGCTACACTCGGTTTAGCTATGCCAGGTCTTTCGATCCTGAACTGCATACCTTCGCTCAGGGGCTATCACCTGTTCAGTGTATGTCAGGTATCACTCCCCTCCCTCCCCTCCCTCTTCCCCCTCCTCCCACCCCTCCTTCCCTCCTCTTAACTTCGAAGGAGGTTGTTTTCTTATTGGTACCAACTACTCACAACGAAACTTCCAACATTCGATAGAAACATACCCTGCTCGTCGGATTTTACTTTCTCATGCAGTCACATTGACATCCCGTACATCGTCTGCCGCATACAGATAAAAAAGCAAAAAGATATCACAAATAATTGCTGTTTAATACAAAAAAAAAAGAAACCTTCATGTTTTGCTGTTTCGTAGGTATCCTTTGGTAAAGCCCAATCAACAGCAATTTTTCTGCCTTTAACCTGAAACAATTGCTCTCTAAGAAACAATATAAAATCATGAAAACAGCCTTAACTTCTGAGTACAGTTCATTTACTACAGAAGGCCAATCAAAGCATGGAGTTCCGTTTATATTTAAATTAATCCTAATTCACTAAACAACTGTCGCATGAACGAGGTCCAATTGTCGTGCTCAACAGGAATATATGCGACTTGATGGACCGAAATATTACTGTTTCGTTGATTAATTTTTATCTTTTATATATGTACGGATTTACTATTATATATATATATATATATATATATATATGTATATGTATACATATATATATACATGTATAAATTTACTACTATACAAATGTAATTGTAAATATGTGGGTCAAAAAATCAACGTACATCAAAAAGGGGAATAAAAAATGCTGGGAATTATACATTCAGCTTATAAATGAGTAGCACTGTCCCAGGAAAAACAAATACAAACGCTATCCATCGAATGAAGTGAATATAAGCCAGAAATTTCGGCAAAAGATATATACATCAGCGATGCTGTGAAATTTGCTCCAGTCAGCAGTACTACTGACTGGAGCAAATTTCACAGCATCGCTGATGTCCTCAAAGTGTCAAAGAGAAACGGCCTACCCACCTTCCCATACCACTGCATGTGAAAGCACTGGATGCGAAACAAAGACACCGACGAAAGCAGAAGAGCGAACGCTAACTGTGATGGAAGCAGCAATGGCATGAAGGATGCTTGGAGAATCTCTACGAGTTCATATGCCAATTCACTAGTTAAATCATCTTATATAAACACACACCCAAATAAAATTAAAATGCAAGGGATGTGAAGGACAAAATACTTTCGCTGTTTTATAAAAATTGAAAGATTGAAAAAAAAGAAAAGAATTAACCTCGGACATATTTAAAGTTTCAAGAGCTTTTATAGCGTCTGGGCGTTTTTTGAACTGTATGAAAGCAAAACCAGCGCACGAATCCGGAAAGCGTGAATCCTTGCATTTCGGTAGAACAATTTCTGTCACTGGTCCGATATTTTTACATATATCATGCAGGTCTTGCTCTTTAGTCTACAAAAAACCACCAAATTTAATTTGAAAATAAAATTAGACTTAAAATTAAATTAGACTTAAATTTTAATTTCCCAGTTCTCGTAGTTTTTGTGTTGAATTACTTGAACACACGGAACGATAGACACATCACACACACACACACACACACACACACACACACATACACTGTTCCGCTTCAATGTGTTTTCATTTGTACGAAATCAAACCGCGGCCACGGGCCTCTACGGCCCGTACTGTTCTTCTTAAATGCCAAAATAAGGCGAAATAAAAATTAAATGGCACAAAAATCGAATAATTAAATTATTTTCGATTTTATGATACAATATTCCCCGAAAAGATGGATGTAGGCTTCTTTTTGAAATTTCTGCTGAACTGGATAATGAAAATCGCAACTTTTAGTGGTGCAGTGTTAAACTAGACAATTTTAATCTTTACCTATAGCACTAGCTCCAATTCTCTCCTCTCTCACTCCCCTTCACCTCCTTCTCACCCCTTGCTCGCCACTTTACTTTTCATATATCCCGGCGACCACAGATCACAAAGACTGCATAACTCTAAAGAGGGCAAAATGCCAAAGATTGAACAGGAGACCAGTGAGTATTATATCAAAACGACACAGTGGCTCTTTATGCAATTTTTAACAAAAAGCAATAAATCATTATGTGACAGCTCAAAAGAGGGTTAACACGGAGGGTGTTTTGACTTTTTAAGTCCGATGTACCACGGTGAGGCTAAAATTTCCATAGATTCATACCTGAAACGGAAGATTGCGCATCATCAAGCGCCAGGACC